TTTACGAGAAGAAACGTGTTTATGAAGAAGAACCGCATTTTTTACTGCATCGCCTCTGAGAATTATTTAACGTTGATATCATATGTAGAAATAGAAACTTAGGGTTGTATCAATTAATAAAATAGTAAAGATTAGATACAAGAAGAAGAAAACTATGAAAGGTATTGTAACAAGGGTCCATTGAGTTACATTACCAATAATTATACGAAAAAAATAAACACATATGTAGCAATTGACCGTGGTAAATTACCGTCCGTTAAGTTTGATTAATTGAATCAAAACTAGAAAACAGTTAAGATGCTCTCATCTGCAAATCGAATTGAAACGTTAGTGTAAGATTAACCAAAACCGTAACCAATAAGCAAAGAATCAATAGTTTTTTAATTCAAAACTAAAAAAACCGTTAAGATGCTCTCATCTGCAAATCAAATTGAAACGTTTGTATAAGATTAACCAAATTCGTAACCAGTAACCAAAGAATCAATAGTTTTAATCAGTTTTCGTATTTTTCCGCCGGTCTTTCATGATTTATTCAATACAATTCTTATTTTTGTTCTCATACTATGATTTTTGTTTATATAACTGAAATTTTGAAAACCTAAACTGATTAACCCGAAAACTAAACGACCAATCCGGTTTAGTAGGAATATTGTTTTGTATTTAGCTTTGTCCTATTGTTCGAACTCTTTTACGTTTGTGAACTGTGATCCTATATGTATATGGACTAGTGAGGAGAATCTAAAATCAATTGGTGGAAAACAAATTTAAGGACACGAGTGAATTGCATGTTTATTAATTAATTAATTGGCAAAGACTAAAATGCCGCCATATGCAGTAGCCTGATTCCTGAAGGCAGCTTTTTGTTTATTTCATGCGCCAAAATGGAATTTAAAGAAATAAAAGTTTCATTGATTTTATTTATGCCTTCAGATGCATTTTTCTTCTTTAATGTGTTTATTAATTATTACCCAAGCCGCTTAAATTCCACATTTTCTCCGTAAGAAAACCCCACAATTCCAATTGTCAGCAATTTGTTTAGAATATTCAGTACCATTTGCTGTCCTTTTTTTGTAACGATACCTGCTCACATAACTTTTTGGAGCTTAAAATTTTAAACACAGTCATACAAAAACTAATAAACAAAAATATGGTCGAAATTGTCAAAATTGTGGTAGCCTGAGGCCAAATCATGGAATTGATGTTGAAGATAGTTTAATGCAAAGTTGACTTCACGGAAGTGATAACGTTATAATTATACATGTTTATTCACTCATTTTTTTATTATTATTTGAGCTCGGTTTCCTGCATGTTACATCTATATTACGACAGATTGTGTTTTTTTTTTTATCACATTTCAGGTCCTAGCAATTAAAGGGAAGTTTAGGTGCAAGTTTCAGGTCATTCAGAGATCGTTTGTCAACTCGAAAGTTGACCAATGGAAGAAACGTGGGCATGACCTTTAGAAACACAAGCTAAAGAAGCCAGACCGCGATTTACCGCTCGTGTAATCATTGCCAAGGAAAAACGTGAGCTAAGCAAGGAGTGAAACACGAATGTGTTTCTCCAAGTTTAGGGTGTGTTTCATATGCTGAGAAGAATCGTGTGAAACCTACAAAACACGGGCTGGGGAAAAACACAGGCACAGACCGTGTTCTGCCTTGGAGAGCTGTGTTTTCCAGTTGAAGAAACTTAAGTGAAAAGCAGGGCACTGATCAAAACATGGGTTGGGTCAAAACACAGGAAAGGAACACGATCGTGTTTTGGCTAGCAAAGCAGAGTTATAGAGAGAGAAAGTGATGAATAACCTTACCTTGGAGCCGATTTTAGTATAGATTTCACCATTGGAGCGAAAATTAAGGCACTCAGAGAGCAGATCGCCATCCTGGAGCATATCATATACATCTTTATGAGTATGACTACTTTGATTATGAATTTCGTCTCTTTGGATAAACTCCTCTCTCACTTGGGTATGGAGAAGCCTAATTCTATGTGTTAGGAGATTGATTGTATGAACCTTTGGATTGGTGAAGTGATTGATTATATTCCATTGAGGTTTTATTCATGATTGATTGAATCTTGATACATTCTTTTGATTATTGCTTTAACTTCCTATTAGATTATGTTAAGAGAGCGTCCTCAATTTGAGGTAGTGGATGGATTGCACAAATAGTGAATCAGTTTACTGCTCTGTACTAGAATCCACTCCAGTAAAGGAAGTCGATTTCCATTGCCTTAGCATATTAGTTCGGTTGATGATAATTTCCCTCCAACTAAACTTTTTAAGAGGACTTGGTTTGCTTTAGTCGATATTTCAAACTAATACCGAACTTTCTGCAGTGTAATTATCAATGAATTTAACCAAGAGAAATTACAACTTTGACCTAACTACGGACTAGGGGGACGTATACCTAATCAGTGACCCTTTGCATATGAAATCGAATCAACTTTCTTAGCTTTGTCGCTTTAGTTTTGGTAAACTTAACTACAACTACTTTGCTAGATAATAGATTGTTCACCGAGGAATGGTATATCTAGGCCCCGGGTTGACATTATAACTTTATACCACTATACTGCTCCCTAATATGTGGTTACACTAGGCCACTAGTTAGAGTGTTGGTAAAGCTAGTCAGGAAGCCATTGAGATGCATGGACATCCCACTCTGACTGCAACATATTTTTTCCTCTTCCTCTTCTTCTTCTAAGAATGACAATAGACAATAGTTATCAACGAGGTAAATAGCCCAACGAAAATTGGTGGGTTGGCACAGGGAGGTCGTGTGATTGAGCCACTACTCCGTCATGCGATGAGTGTTCCCTCTACAATACCTTGGTTTAGCTTTGGTCGTAAATAGTGGTAGCCAGCCTTGTGGTTTCGCCCGACTACGGCACCACCGAAGGTGGTGACCGTGTAGGGTGTTCCACGTTATAAAATAAAAAAGACAATAGTTAAAAATAATTTCTACCCAAGATCCCTCACTCCCCAGTCCCCACTATAGTGAACCCAGCCTACAAAAGCAAAGGAAGCTACAAAAAACAAAACACTTTCTACCAAAAAAACAAAACAAAACACAGAAAAAGAAAGCTACAAAAGTCACTTAAAATATTTCATTCCATTCATGGTCACTGAAATTAGTTCAACAGTCCTTGTTTGGTCCAGGGGCGGACCTATTCATAGCCAATGGTAGTAAGCTGACAAACCTTGACTACAAAATTAGATCAAACCAACCCATTAAGAGTAATATTATTGTTGGGCCTTTCCAATTTGACAAAGCTTAGACTTCTGCTCCGTTCAACCACTAAGCAATAGTTGTTATGGAATTTATTAATTAAAAATATATATAATGATTCTAATTAACTCCTAACAATCTGTCGAATCCAAGTGGTCAAGCCCATTAAGATTTTATCAAATCTCCTTCTCCTCTTTGGGGAATGAAAAGTTACCCATAAAAGGACATCTCTCGGCCCGTGACTCCCAAGATTTCCAATTGCAATTCCCCTTTTTGATAGAACTTAACCCTTGCTTTCCCTTCTTCTATCGTCGACAACTCATCACCACTGACCAATTTATGAGTGATCGTAAATTCGTCAAGAACGATCCTCAAAATCGTATGGGGGCCAATTTATGAGTGATTGTCTGGTCATTTTCATTGAAAGGCGTAAGTCGCAACATATGTGATGAATGTATTATAGAAACTTTTCAGAATATGAAAACACGTCGTGGTTCGTTATGAGAAGGGAGGAACCGATATACTTTATTAATTAAACATTTTTTTTATTTTTAATTACTTTATTATTTATTTTTGTGAATACCCTTGACAAAGTTTCTGGGTCCACCACTGGTTTGGTCACTGGTCGTTACCTTCCATCAGTCTCCGTTAACGACGTCAGGTTTTTTGCTGACATGGCTAATAGAAGTGCCTAATTATCAAATTTTAATCCAAAAAATTAATATCCGACCCGTCACATCAATCCAACCAGTCCCAACCCTTCCTCTTCTACCTATGTTTGGCCCAACTAAAAATAACAAAAAACCTACCTCCCGACCACTGAATTTGCTGCCAACTCCCATCTGCCGATCAATCTCCTCCAATAATCGTTTAATCCGAGCATCAACCTCCCTCTCCACTTCTTCACAAATTTCGTTGTTCTCTTGATTCTATTGCTTTTTAAATTGGGCAATTTGATGATTTGCTACTAGAAACCCTAGAATTCTTCTTCCCCTATGCAGTGCTGCATTCATGACTTCGAATCCCTAATACTCGTTACCAGGGTCACAGGTTGAATTGGGTTTACTGACGTGTTAGGTCGGGTTTTAACTTTTTTTGATTAAAATGTGCTGATTAAGCACTTCTGTTAGTCATGCCAGCAAAATACTCACGCCGTTAACAGAGACTGACGGACGGTTAGACCAAACTTCGACTCTTTAATTAGTGACAACTGTTGAAATAAAATATTTTTAGTGACAAACGTGAATTTTTTTTGAAATCACAATGACCAAATATGCAATTTATCCAAAAGAGAAAAGAAGGCTCAAAGACGTTTTAGCTGAGCCACGTGTCTATTACTCTGTGGGGTTTGGGTCTACCCATACGAAATCTCGAATCTGCCCCCTACTTACCGTTTCCAGATATTTCCACAAGACGACAACAGCTTTTGCAGAATGGATCCATGATGGTGGGGGCAATTCCGAAATTTGCCCAGGTTAACCCCCAACCAAAATCAAGGCCGCACCTTTCATCTTGGGAATGAGGCCACGTGGGTGAATCACCTGCTCCACCCAAAAAATTACCCACCGTGCAACCGCAGCCACGTTACAGAAGGAGAAAAAAAAACCTGGTTAGGATAAAAACCCACCACGCTGGCAGACACGTCGATACACGAACTCCACGTCATCGATCTCTTCTCCGAGACTCCTCCCTTTCTCCCTATAAAAATTTGCCCACTCCACCAGTCTTTCCAGTTTCCCCCACTAATTTGTACTCAACAAAGCTATTCCTCTCCTTTCCCCTTCTTTTCTTCCCCCCTTTCGTCCTTATCATACTCGCCGGCGGCGAGATCCCTCATCGCAGGGGGAATGAATATTCCGGCGGAAACATCTCCTCTTACCTCCACACGCAATGCTCGTATCTCCGATCATCCCCGCCACGTCTTCCACGAAAAAGCCCTCTACTAAAATACCATCCCTCCCCCCTCTCTCCTCACCGCCCAAGTTCTCAGATTCCTCCTCGCTGATTGCAGGGAAGGTACCAGATTTCCCCTTGTCAAACAATTTTCTGTCCGGCGACTCCATTTTTTGAAACTTGGATTCCGATTGTCCTGCTTGACGGTTCCTTTTTTGAGTTAGTAGTAGTACCTGGTTATAGAGGAGAGAAATGTGCGTCGATTTTCCGGCGTTAACTTTTTTTTGTTGGTGAAATGTACTAGACCCGAGATTCAGGATCTGACCGAGTCATTGATTGGTCCCCTTTGGACTCAGTGAGTCAATAGATTGCTGAAGAAGACGAGTGGACGCGTTTAGAAACCATATCATTCATTCAATCAGTCAGTCGGTTAGTCAAAATCCTTTGATCCTTTCATCTCTCTGACATGCCTCCTATGAAGATCCAGCCAATCGATGTCGATTCTCAGATGCAGCCGGCGACTCCGGCCATAGCTGAGCCGGCGAAGCCGGTGCTGAAATCTCGGTTCAAGAGGCTCTTTGACCGCCAGTTGCCGAGCGTGTTGAGGATTTCGTCGGCTGATAAGCCGAACATCGGCGGCGATGCGCAGTATGTTACCAGAGATGCCGGAATCGGAGCTGGAGGGACCGAGTTCGAGCCGAGCTCTGTGTGTTTGGACAAAATGGTGCAGAGTTACATGGAAGAGACGAACGAGAAGACTCTCCGCGCTCGCAATCGCTGCAATTGCTTCAACGGCAACATCAGTGACAGCTCCGACGATGAATTCGATGTGTTCGATGGCGGCTTTGGTGAGTCGATCATTAGCAGTGGACCGAACTATGACGCCTCCGATGTTCTCAAGGTAAAGAAAAAGCCGCCCTTCCGCTTCTGTTATGTACGATTTTCCGCTTCTCGTCATATCAAAAGCCTGGTTGGAGCTTTGAATGCCTAATAACGATGTGGTGTTTGGCTCTTTGGCAGAGTCTAATTCCGTGCGCGAGCAGAGCCGAGAGAAATCTCCTCGCCGACGCGGCGGCGATCGTCAAGAAGAAATCCTCTTCTTACAAGCACAAAGACGAGTTGAGAAAGATCGTCGCCGACGAACTATCGGCCCTCGGCTATAATTGCTCCATCTGCAAATCTAAATGGGAGAAAGCCTCTTCCTATCCCGCCGGTACGTCGCCTCTATTAATCATTCCCTTTGGTTTCCAAATCTTCTCTGCCGTCAATTTAGGGTTTGAAATTTACGAATTGGATCCAACTGCTCTGCTTCTAAACTCCGCAATCGCAATTTCTCTCAGGTGAATACGAGTACCTAGATGTGATTGCCGACGGCGAGAGACTGTTGATTGACGTAGATTTCAGATCGGAGTTCGAGATCGCTCGATCGACCAGTGCTTACAAAGCAGTCCTTCAATCCCTGCCGCACGTTTTCGTCGGGAAACCAGACCGGCTGGGCCAGATCGTGTCGATCGTGGCGGAGGCGGCGAGGCAGAGCTTGAAGAAGAAAGGGATGCACTTCCCTCCGTGGAGGAGAGCCGAGTACATCCGCGCCAAGTGGCTCTCTCCGTTCACCAGGCTGACCGACAAAGCTCCGGAAGACTCCAAAGCTGAAGAAGAGCTTCTGAACGGAGGCAAACCACCGTCGGAGGAGGAGGAGAAGGGAACGGATGAGAGAGAAGAGTGCTGCGGAGAGCTGGAGTTGATTTTCGGAGAGAAAGCCACAGAGTCGGACACCTCCTCGTCGCCGGCGAAAACTCCCGGCGAGGAGAAGGTGAAGGCGGCGGTGACGTGGCAGCCGCCGGCAGTGAAGCCGAAGAGTGTTGTAAAGAGGAAAACAAAGATGGTGACCGGATTAGCCTCTCTTCTGAAAGAGAAACCGTAAAAACAAAAAAAGTTTTGGACTCTATTTTTTCATATTTCCTTTTTTGGCGGAGGACATAAAAAACGTACAAAATTGAAAAATATATGAAAATATAAATTGAAATGTGAAATAGGTGGATAATGGTAGCAATTAGTTGATTTAGTAGCCTGCTGCGGTACTGCCGCTTTTCTCACCCACTTTTTCTTTTTAACCTGCTGTTGCTGTAAAAGCAGAGGTAGGGACTAGGGAGCAATCCAATCAACCCTGTAATAACTTGGTAAAAACGAGCAGTAAATATTTTGGAAGTTAAAAATCCTCTTCGTTTTTTTTTCTTTTTGGTGTTGCATTAACTGCCGAGGCCAGAGAGTGGTGACTAATGACTAATGAGTTTAAAGAATGAACGGTGCCTCAATGGAATCGGATACTTTCCTCGCTGAACCTATGTTGTTAGTATTATGTTAATATAGTTTGTGTTGTACTTGTATTGCTACATTTGTAAAAAATAATTACCACAACGTAATTACGTCGACGATTCCAACTCATAATTAGTATGGTGTCAGACCCTTCCGACTAACAACGAGCCAATTTATGTGCGTGTGAAACCGTTCATTTTTCGTAATTTCCCCATCTTGTTTAGAGAAAAAAAAAATATTTTTGGGTATTGGATAAAGTGCAATGAGTGCTCGATTCCCAAAGATATCATACCAATAACAGTCATGCATTTCTTTTAGGTGGTGTTCCCCTCACAGGGAACAAAGGGGTTCAAGATAGGGTGCATAACCATGGGTTATGCACCCATCAATAACCAAATCTGGACCCTTCATTTAGAAAATCCAGATCTAATGATGGAGAATTAAAGGCTATTTTTATTTTCACTAACTTTCTTAATTGACTATATCTTTTTCGTTTTAACTCGGATTTTAATTTTTTTTGCACAGATGGAACGAGTTCACCGTGCTCTACAAAATGAGATCAATTTTCAATATTTTTTTAGGAAAAAAAATTCTGGCCTCTCGGTACCAACTGCATACCATATGGTATCTTCTTCGTTTTTAATTCGTTTTTGAAAACGTTTGCACAGCAGGGATGAGTTCATCATGATCTACTGGATCTACAAATTTCTGGGTGAACAAATTACAGGACCAAAAAATACCAAAAAATACCATATAATACCACCCTGGTACGGGGTGGTATTGTATGGTATCTTCTTCGTTTTTAATTCGCTTTTTGAAAACGTTTGCACAGAAGGGACGAGTTCATTATGATCTATTGGATCTACAAATTTCTGGGTGAACAAATTACATGACCAAAAAATACCACACAATACCATACAATACCACCCTGGTACGGGGTGGTATTGTGTGGTATACAATGTTAAAAGTCGTAAATTACAATTAATATACTTCTACTATCATGTATTCAACCATCCTACAGTATTGGTTTGTTCATACCAACATGGTACGTTTTTCAAAACATAGGTATGCTTTTATTTCAATACCAGTCAATACCATATGGTATAGGCTGGTAAAAAATGGCTCAATTTTTTTTGTTCGAAAAATATATTAAAGTGGATATCATTTTGAAGAGCATAATTAATCTGATCTAACTGTGTAAAAAAAATTAAATTTCGACTTAACATGAGCGAGAAATCGTCCACCAAAGATTAAAGAGGGAAAAATTAAAGGCTTTCCATGAGAGAGATGATGCTGATGTCATGCTGATGTGGACAGGTTACTCATGGTTACTCACCATAAGGTTACTCACCTGATCCATTCCCGAACAAAGGCGGACGAAAGAAACTTTATTTTTATGGAGTTTTGCTTTTCTCTTGTCATCATTTATTTCTTCATGGAATGATTTCTAGTTTTTGAAACCTATTCCTAAGCCAGGCATGGCAGGAAAAAATCCCAAGTTACACATGTTTTTTAAAAAAAATTTCAAAATACACACGTTATGAAAATAATTCCCAATCTACGTTAGTTTGGGCCATCACCGCTGTCGACGAAGACAGTGATTGCATCACTGTTGTCGACAAAGACAGTGATTGCATCACCGCTGTCGACGAAGACAGTGATTGCATCACTGCAGTACACGGCCGCGGTGAAGGCCTGACCTGCGTCGAAACTTTAAACAAACGTAACTTTGTGCTCGGTTATCCGATCGTAACGAAATTTTTTTTGATTCCGCATAATTTTTCGAGATCTTGCAATCCGCAAATTGCCGTAGGCGGTTTGGTCCCGCCTTGGTCTCGAAAATATGTCGTTTGCTACCCCGAACGAGCCTTTTTTCGATTTCGTCAAACTTTGAACGACCATAACTTTGTACTCCACAATCCGAAAATCATGAATTTTTTTTATTTCGCATAACTTTTTAAGGACTACAATTTTTATCATAGACATATTTTCGGAATGTACTTGGATTCCTGAAAATGAAGGTAAAGTTATTCCCAAAACCCCTTATATCCATAAATAATTCATTTTTTGAAAATTCTCTGCTACTAAATATTATGGTCCGGTTTGGGGTCGTATCGGATCGAGTATAATGCGGTCTGATTCTTCGTCCATATAAATTTTATAATTACAGAAGAATTGATAGACAATATTGATATTTGGATCGGACCGGATCGGATCGAACCTAACCAAATAGACCGAATGTAATGATGGTTCGATCTTTAGTTCTAAGATATTTTACTAATGGATCACGATTTTCATTAATTTGGTCCGATCCAGTCCGGCATGAGTCCGGTTCTTAGTTCTAAGTTATTTCGTGGATAATCACCTATACAAGTAATTCTAAGACCTGACTACCAAAAATCACGGAGATCTCCTCTCTAATAATCCTGCATAACTAAAAAATATTTGGATTTGGATTTGAATGAAACAAATATGGATGGATTGAAAATAGTAGGGGAAATTGAAAAAAAAAAGAATGTGTGTGGTAGATGACACATTATTGAAATAAATAAAAATTAGAATACTATTTCAATTTAGACCGTTAGATCGGTGGGGGAAAAATACTAAGAAAAAACGGGCAATGAAAAAAAATTAATTGAAACCAAAGAAATATTTTTTAATTAGTGTTAAGGATACCGAAGTGGATGCCTAATATGTTTCAAAATGTATGGGAAAAGGTGTTTATTATATATTTTATTTCATATAATAGATATAGAAACTGAAATTCGAGATGCAGTGTGGTCGTGGCGTCTCGAAATGCACAAACAAAGAAAAGTTGCACGTAACACGTTCATTACAATGGCGTGAATCTGGGATCGGTTAGCATGCTAACCTTTGTATGGGTTGGCAAAATGACAACCCCTATTAATTATAGGTTTTTAAGGTAATTAATTTATGTTGCATTTAATAATCTGTATGAATTAAAAACATATATTAATTACTTTCCTTTTTTCAGTGCACTGGTAGTTGTATCAGTGCACTGGTATACTGAACTCATATTAATTATGTTCCTTTTTTGGAACTACCATTGCAGTGATACATCTACCATTGCACCTGTACACAACTAACAGTGCACTGATACAACTACCAGTGCACTGAAAAAAGGAAAGTAATTAATATGTATTTTTAATTCATACAGATTATTAAATGCAACACAAATTAATTATCTTAAAAACCTATAATTAATAGGGGTTGTCATTTTGCCAACCCTTTTATGGGTAGGCATGCTATCTCATCCCCGTGAATCTCTTTTCTTTTTTTATTTTCTTAATTTTTAGAGAAAACAAAAACCCTCTTCGAATTCCCTATTATTCAATGAGAAATTTTACAATGCTACATAGTATTGGTGCTATAGGTTTTTGCATTTATGGTACAACTTAAATATTGTACATTTACGTTGTAGTACAATTTCAGATTGTACCTATACTTTTTGTACAAATTCTTTTATGGTACAACTTGAACTTGTACCTTTATGTGATGGTACAACTTTGTAAAGTTGTACCATAACATAAGTGTACAAATTTCTTTATGGTACAATCTAAACTTATACATTTAATGTTATGGTACAACTTTAAGTTCTACATTAAAGCACAAATACTATATAGCATAGTAAAAATGCTCATTATTCAATATATATTCAGAGTTTGTGGTGGGCGTGTGTGTGTGTTGGGGGAATGATAATATCACGAAAATAAAGGGAAAATGGTTTTCTCTTGCTTCAATTTCTTTCAACTGATCACCTCGTGAGCTCCATTCACTTTTATAGTATTGAATTTCTCAAGTTTATCCGTCAGTGTTTTAATTTTTTAAACAATAATAATTGGTATTGGTTTTGTAAAATTAAATATCGTGATGGAGTTTTGACTGCAGCGAGGGAAACGGTGTAAACTAGGAAGATGGGCACACGTGCAAGTTGAGAAATGGGATCAATTTTTTACCGTCTTCGTTTTTGACATCTTTGCTTACCTTCCTTACCCTCCTTGTTTAACATGGTAAAGTTACTGATTCACCTCATTGTGCATGTATGTGAGGTATGAAGAAGATGGATGGGTTGAAAGTTGAAACAGTTTAACCTTTCTGCCTCGTCTTTGTATGCTGAAACTCATTTTGTTTGCGAAAATTTTGGTTTGTGTTTGTCTCGAGCTCGGTTTGAGCTCGGCGCATTAATGAGCTAACGAGATCGACCCAACATTTAGCTCACGGTATTGGCTAGTGTTTATGCACGTTATCATTTAGTTCGTAATTTTTAATTGTACATGTCTATTAGTGATTTGTATATGAGCATTTCATGATACGTAAGTTCTCTTTTAAATTATAAAAAAATGAGACATATTTGGTCATGTGCTCAATTCTTAAACATCATATGTGGTGTGATATATAATCTAACAAACATGTGAGTTATCAACAAGCCAATGATAAGCTATTAATATGTTTACTCATAATTTGCTAGTTGAGGTGGCTCGCTGGTCGTACTGCTAGTCAGCTCGTAGCTCAAAACGAGCTAGCTTACGAGTTAAACTCAACAAGCCAACAAATCGAGCTGGGTTCACGAGACTTGCAAGCTAGACAAGACATACCTCAAACTCTACTCTTTAGTAAACAAGCCTAGTATCAAATGAAATTTTTCCAAACTGAATACAAAATCATCTTAAACCACTTGCCTCATTTGCAGTCCTACATAAACTCTACATAAACTTGGAGGTTGGTGAAAGAATGGCCAAAGCTCCTCGTACATAGATTCCTTCTTTCTTCAGTTCAGTGGTGCTTTTTGCTTTGTGGGTTGGGACTTTGGGAGGAGAGTTTTCAATTTTCACCTCGTCCTCCACTTGGTCACCTGTTCCTAAATAAGTCATGGTTGGGGCCAGA